TCCATAATATTTATAATGTTTATATATTGACGATCGTCATAAACGCTGCAGATAAGGAGAAACTAATACCGGTTTTTGGTGGAATATAACCATCACATTTTCCTAGTGGCCGCTTTTCAATGTACATATTGCAAAAAGATTGGTCTTGGGAGGCGTCACAACAGTAATAGCGTGGGATAAGATCTTCCTCTATTAAAAACAATATATTATACAATTATTTATACATTCATTAATTAACAAAATGTAAAAATTAAAAGTTTTACTTATCTAATAATGTTAGGTATAAGCATTGGTAAAGTGCATTGTAATCAAACGTGAAATACTGTGAAATTGGTCTACAAATTCATCATTCGGAATACAATTACGAAGAGTAAAATAGAACTAACTGATGGATTGTATTGAACGTAAAACGTATTAATGGAAAATCTAACAATAATGATAGGGGACTCAAAAATACAAATAGTCTATATGGAATAAAAATTGTGATTGAATACACAAATCGTATATTTTACTTAAATATCGGTCGTATTCATCACTATCCACACCAAATGCTGGTTGAAACTGATGACGTAACATGAAGCTGCTTGTTTGGACCTCATCGAAGCCCTCTATCAACGAAAAATCTTCTCGGTAGCAGCATTGCAAGCCGGCTCCATTAATATTTGTCAATGTGGTGCGCATACAAATGGCGTTTTCTAAATAGATCATGTCAAAATGAATAATAATTTTTAAAAACTCATCATAATATGGATTATTCTTTCATTGCTACATATCTCTCTACATACAGTGACTAATTCAAATGTGTCCACTTATGCACCAAGAGCAGATGTCAAAAAATGCTCTTAACGTTCCATCCTATTAAGTATTGAATATCTTTCCTAAATTGACCTACAGACGTTTAGACATGCTGTCTACTAACGGATGAGAATGTGCTGCCTGTTAACCTACTCGTAGTGAAATTATTACACCGGTAGCGACAACTGCTACATATATCTCTTAGAATTTCACAGGAGCACTATAGATAAACTTTTCAGCATTAATATTTGCTTTTTGATAATGTTAGATAATGAGTTATTATCAATCGTGCGAGGATGCTGCGTAATCCAACTACTGTACAGAGTAGATTTGCTAATACGAAAATATGTTGTTTTAACAACATTAAAAAAAAAAATAATAATAGAAAAATTGAGTTAATTATCTTACTCATGTGCTTGTTCAGTGAGTCTATTAACGAATCTTCATACTGTTCATTATTTAAACTGACTGTGTCATTACTGGGCGAAAACTTTAAATCTCCACTTGCTTGACCGAATCCACAAGGACAGGAACCTAGATTTTTATGCCAAGTAATCGGATCTGGTTGTCTATTGTACCATGCCCAGCATTCCATTTTTGGGTTCACTGTCTGATCTGTATTGTTTTCACTCCGATAAATCCACCTTCCTTTAAGGTTCGTGTTTCCATTTACAATATCAGGTTTATATGGCTCTTCTAGCTGTATATTTTCGAACTTATCGTCACGGTTAAAACCAATGATAAGATTCTTATTTATAATGATTGAAGTGTCCCACTGCATTCTCGTCTCTTCAAAATTAAAGAATATGATTCCATAAATTCCGTCTGTTATCAATGCTGCTTGAAATGTATTAGGCTAGAATATAGAAATAAAAATACAATACACAAATGAATGTTAAAATTGAAATTGTATTAATTTTGATTAACTAATTTTATTAAAGTATTTTTTTCAATTATTATAAAATTGTGTTAGATAAGAGCAAAAAAATTCAGAAATGTAATATTAAACAATAACTATATATATATTTATATACATATAAAAGAAAGTACAAGATATATAAATATAAAACATGTGTTAATCGTGCAAGTTTGAACAATTTGTTGTCAGATAAAAGTTGATTATTCAAGAGGGGTGAAGCAAAATAAAACAGCCCGCCCCTTAACCATACGTTTTCATTTTAATTATAGGAACAGAAAGAATAATAGTATTTTCTGAGCGAAAATGATGGACGGGCTCAGCTGGAATAAAAAAGATTGAAAATCAGAGAGATAAAATGAAATTGAAGAACCTTACAAAAGAGATTAAGAATTTTAAATATAATTAGTTATTATAATAATTGAAATTAATTGTTATTTTCACCTTCTCATTAATGTACATGATTGCACATTGTTCTTACCTGTTCATATGTAAATTCAGCTGAATATTGAGGAACCTTATACCACGTAACAACCAACATCCATGTACCATTAAATTGTAAGTGACTGAAATTAGTGCAAATCCTTTGGTTTGCATCCTTGATTACCGAGTCGTATGTATCATGAACCTGTGCAAATTACAAAGCTCTTTGTGTATTTTTTTGTAATCAAGAATTATTTGGTAGTCAGATGGTGGTTAAATAAATATGTAGTATCTAAGATATCTAAAATATAGGGCATATCGATCTGCGTCTGTTCGCCTGCTGAATATTACATCAAATTTATTAAAGTTGAAATGAAAAGATTCCGATCGGTTACCTGGTAGAACACATCACCATATGACTTAGTAAGGTCAACGTCGGTCCAAAAAGGAGCTACAATCATTGCTTGTGAACTGTCACCTGTAAATCCGGATTCGTAAGCATTCGGAAATCCGATTTTGTTGGCATTTCCTTCGGAAAATACGATTACGCCATTTTCGGTGAACTAAAAAAAAAAAAAACCCAAAAAACGAAACAATATTAAAACTAGAGCACTCACTCCAGAGTGCATACCTCCAACCTGTTTCTGAATACTGAACAATACGCAGGCAGTGTATAAAGTGTGATTCCATTATTTTCTTTATTGTTGAGGTAAAACACTAAATTTCGTGACCCTGACGTTGTCTTCTTAGATTATTTTAACCATATCTTTCCTACATTATTATGTACCATTTAACTACATTTTATGATGACCCATTCGTTAATAGTTTTTGTGTAAATTTGCTAACAGACAGACAGACAGACAGAGGTAAATATATAACCTCGTTTGTTATAGTATCGTACTATACGATGTAGAACTATAAGCAATGTGATGTAATTGGTACATCGCATAGGCCCAAATAAAGTCTTGATAAGTTCAATAGAAAGGAAATACAAATTTGAGATTCGGATATAAGTTTTGAATAACTATATACCGACCATGTACCAACAGTAGAATAGAGAAACCAACAACAGAAAATAATTACAGCAAAGTATCAATAAAAAAAAAATACTCATGTGCTTTTAATAGTAAGTAATGGTAAATGGTAACAACTGAATGAAATGGGAAGCAATTTTTTTTAAAAAAGGTAAATGCTCTGTCACCGTATGATTTTAGCTCATTTTTCTTTATTATATTAGTCATGTCTTTGTTCCACTTAAATTGTTTTTAGCTATACCAAGCAAACTTACATATATTTCTTGATAAAATTTACTGCCGTATGGAAAGCCAAATGGTGGCCTAAAAGTAGCAGATATTAGCTCAGAATCATTCTTTTTGTCATAGTTCTCTCGCAAACTTGAGCTGTCATTTTGATCAAACTCGAAAAATACATACTCTGAAAAATGGCAATAAATACAATGTAACCATTATTATAACTTTAAAATTATGTACAGAAATACAACATTGACTAACGCCATCACTATATATAGAAGTCACTAAACAATTTAGCCATGTTCTTAAATATTATAATTTGGCATACCAATGTCATTAAATGATTGGAATACAGTGCCACAATGGATGTGTTTTTAGATTAGAAAATCAGCAATGCTGTTCCGCTCCCACTCCGTCTTTTCAGGATCTAATATACACTGTTTTTTTATGCCTACTGAGTTAGGTAAATGTATAGTTTTAGAGGTTTAAGTTAACATTTACTTAATAGGTCAACAGAAAATGATTAGTTTACAAACACCAGAAGATCATTACTGTACCATAGCAGTTGATTCCATCGCCGTAATAACCTTTGTCACAACTACAGTTATAACTTCCATTTGTATTTTCACACGATGCTGACACGTGACATTCATCAGTTCCCATGGCACATTCGTCAATATCTGGAATGTAAAAAAAAAGATTTTTGCATTGTCCATAAAAAAAATACATGAGTATCAAGGCTTGATTCATATGTTGTATTCTAAATGTTGCTGTGTACTCAAAAGATCATATTAGATAATAATTATATTGTTTTAAATTAAACTTTAGCATGTATCATATGTTATTTGGATTGCACTTAGTCGAAACATATGATCATAAGACGTGAGCACGTCTTCATAAAAATATTTAATGGAATCTCAGAAATGGCATAACCATATTTAGGAGACGATTTTATCACGCAATGCATTGTAGATTAATGATAAAAACAAACAAAATACGTCTGCATGAAAATCTGCAATGTACGTATGTGCTTCGAGACACATTGTTTATACGTTTTCAGTAGGTTTACCTACGTAACCGAGGCCACTCTTGTGCAAAATTCAAGGGAAGGTTGCACCACGCTTCATTGAGCCTTGTTTTAAAAACATTCATTGAATCACTTGAAACAGTTAAACTTATAACATATAATTAGCTAAAACACAAATTTAAGAAGTAATATGTTGTCGGAAATTGGCACAGCCTCCAACAGTACAAAACATATTATTTTATGCTTGTCTTACCTGTAGCACAGTTGGTGCCATTCCACTGCGTAGAACACCTACACGTAAAATTTGCAATTTCATCGTTACAAGTACCTCCATTTAAACATGGACTCGATTCACATTCATTAATATCTGAAATAAATAGTAATGATAGTAACAAGAACAATAATAATATTAATACTAATTATAATATTAATTTATCAATAATAATAGAAATAATAATAATAACATTGATAATGATATCAATAATAATAATAATAAATATAAGTAAAAAATGACAATAAAAATAAGGATGATGGTAATAATGATTATAATAAAGCTAATAGTAATGATAATGATAATAATATAAACAACAACAATAATAATATTAATAATAATAATAACAATAATAACAATTTTAATAACAAAATAATTGAATCACAGTATAACTTGCAGACCAATTTAAGAAATATATTGTCTTGGCTTTCTAGCCACGCCCCACACGAATACTGGCTTTTACATTAGCCTTTTCACACGTAGTCTGTTATTGTTTAGTTTCCACCAGTCAGAAGCAAGTTTCACTATTCTATTTTCCTGTCTGGATTCTCTGCCAGATATTATTCTCTGGAAGACGATTGAAGCTCAATTGAAACGTCAAGATATTCTCAACAAAACAACAATTATTTTCATAACTCTCTACGTGGCATACCTCAAGCATTAAATGCAATAATAATAAAAATAATAATAATAACAATAATAACAATAATAATAATAATAATTAATAATAATAAAATAATAATAATATTAATAATAAAAATAAAAATAATAATATTAATAATAAAAATAAAAATAATAATAATAATAATAATAATAATAATAATAATAATAATAATAATAATAATAATAATAATATGTATGTTTTTATATAGCGCTCTATACAACTAAGTCTGAGAACAGTATAATATAAAGCACCGCAGCAAAAGATCAATGAAAATGATAATAGGCCTATTATCTGCCGATAAAGTACCTAAGCATGTAGGATTGGTGCTTCCATTGTAGTGCCCATCTTGACAACTCAGTATCTGGTTACCAACGAGCTCGTACCCAGCATTACAGGAGAATAAAACAGTCTGGTTATGCTTGATTTGATCAGTAGTCTCAACATTGCCATTTGATGGCGGCGATACCTCTTTGCAATCCTCTGTAATAGACATTTGATCGTGAACTATTATTATTAATAGGTCTATTTAACTACATGGCCTCTCATTCCATCGTTAGGTATTTATTCACTGACGTCACTAGGCCTATTCCTAAAACAATGTTTGGCAAACATGGCCTTAGTTAATGTAAGCCAACATTCGCAACTGTCAGGGATGTGCCCCGTTGGTAAAGCTGGCGACCCCATATGGCGTCCTGACCCCAGGTTTGGAAACCAGTGATACAGAATTTTTCTGTTAAGGCTATAAACACATAATGTCTGTAGTATATTTTAATAGTATAGTACATACTTTTATCATTTTAGTACTACTCATGTTGTAAAAGCAACAGCGTATAATTCTTGTATTAACTCCTAAAAAAAATAATCCCAGTGGTAAAATCCGAATTTATTCTTAAACAAGAAATATTTCCTATAAAAAAAAACGCCGCAACATCTTAACCTTTACCTTTATCTTTATCTATCAGCTGTCTTGTCATATTTTTTTTTTATCATATCGAGATTTGAATAAATATTAAACTTACTATGACATTTTGGGGGATCATTTGTCCATTTTGTCTCATTACATGTATTCGTCTTGTCGCCAAATAGTGTGTAGCCTGGGTAACACGTGTATGTTACGTTCTCTCCTGATTTATATCTATATTTAAATGGTTCGAAGTAACTGTTCTCGGAATCCGGGATGCCACATACAGCTATTCAAATTTTGTCAAAAATTAAAAATTATATGATGTAGTTAAATGTCAATATAATTATAAGGCAACATTTGTTTTTTTTTTATATATATATTTTTTAAATGTTTTTAAAACTAATATTTAGAAACAACAATAAATACCGATAATAGTACAAATAATGGTCTTATCAAAAACTATAAAGCAATATTTAAAGACAATAGAAATGAGTTAATTAATGACAAACTATGGAAGTAGAATTACATAGTAGTAAAATAATCCTCCTAATATATTAGTAATAGTAGTAGTCTTAAAGTATTACTATCAGCGGCAGTATTAGTGATAGCAGCAGGAGTGGCCGTAGCAGTAGTAATAGCAGTGGCAGCAATACTGTAGCCGTGACAGCAGCAGAAGTAGCAGCAGCAGCAGTAGCAGTATAGTAGTAGTTGTGGTTGTAGTGGTGGCGGCATTGGTGGCAGCGGCGCCGGTGGGGCGGCCCCGGAGACAGCGGCGGTGGCGGCAGCAGCACTACTAGTAGTAGTTGTCGTTGAATTGAGTTACAAACATTGCATTACAAACCAGAACATTCTTCGAGTTCTTCATCTTCATTGTTGATACAATCATTATTGTAACCGTCACACAGGAAATCCTTTGGTATGCATTTTCCGTTGCTACATCGATGTTCATCTTCCTTGCAAACTAGAAATAAAAGCAGCTTTAATCAATATTACAACACACACTGTTTGTTAACCTAAGCATTTTATAACGAATGTTGTGTCCTTATACTGTAGTGTAGTGAAATTACAAAATAAAATTGAGACATGCCATCAAGGAGCTTACGTCAATGTACCACAGAGTGTTGCTCCAAATCCATAAAGTATTAAAAGTTACTTGGCCAGTGAGACCAGGGATAATAATTATACACGAGTTATTTTCCACTAAAAGTTATTATTTCACATGGCCCCGTGTTGGGTTTTGGAAAAAAAATGTATTAATTAAATAATTATTACTTAGTTTTTTAAATATTTTTATAATTTGTTTTCGCTGACCAGACTGAATTGCTATGCGTGCTAAATCTGGCACATGCGCATACCAGGGATATGTATGTGTGTGTGTATATGTATGTATATATGTGTGTAGGGGTGTATGTATGTATGAGCGCATTATTATTATTGATTATGCTATCACAAGTTAGTGCTGGGGACTTCTAATTCTAATAGGTTAAGATTGCAACGTGCCCAGAACAAATTATTCGTTTTATCTTATTATTTTCTTTCATTTAACTGATACCTGCTTCAAGTCGCTTGGTTTGTTAAATATTGAGGGGAGGGCCAAACAACTCACTTTAAGTTTAACTTATCAAAATTTTAATTTCAATATATCCCAAAATATTTGAAGGATAACTTTACAAAACTTAGCCATTCATATTATACTAGGGGTAAGAATCTTAACCTTATTGTTCCAATTAATAATGTGCTTTTTAGAAGATCTTTTTTTATATAATTCTATCATTTTCTGGAATAATTTGTTCAACAAGGTTAAAACCCCAAATAAGCTGTTAAACTTTAATTGTAATATAAAAAAATGCTTCTTAATTGTTTGGGTATCCAGTGATTTCTGGCTTTGATTTGTCTTTTTCTTTTGAATCTTGCTGTACTGTATTTTGCTTATTTAGGTTTGATTTTAGTTTAGGTTTGCTAAATTTTGTTTGAATGTGTAATTGTTTGCTTTCTTTTTTTGTTCTTGTTTCTGTAGTCTTTGTTGGGGACCTCTACGAAAACAAGGCTTAGGGCTTATAGAGCTTTCATCTGCATTCCTTCCTCTTTATTTTGTTTACTGAATTAAGTTGTTGTTGGCTTTTTTATATTATATCAAAGAGTATAAATAGAACAAGAGAGCGTACTCCCGTTCGCAAAAACGTCACACCTGCGTAGGACGCCCACTGACGATTGTAAGTACTTTTTTACCCATAGAGATATAATAAGAATACTAGAGCGCTAACTGCAATGTATTCGATGTTCGAAATACGCAGAGCTGTGTGTGTGTACCATCCAAGATGGCTGCCATAGATTTAGCCAATCAAATTTCACCTAAACACCATCATTTGCAATTGCGCCCTCAATTTACACAAAAAGTTCAGTATAGCTAGTTACCCGTATGTTTGAAACTCGAGCGTTGGGGTGCATGGGTTTAATGTACATGATTTCAATTTTCATTCCTTGGTACTTTATTTTTGAATAAGATGCTCCACTTGGCCTCGTTTTGGCTACGATAGTTTAATAATTTGTTATTACCATTACTCATTATCATTAATGAAATAATAGTCAGTCATAGGGCTTATTTATGGTAATAATATGTAAACTAAGCCTGAAGGTGGCGCTTTACTACTACGGCCATCTTGGATGGTACACATACATAACTCTCTGCATTGCTTCGCCATCTTGTCAGCATTCTAGTTGTTCAATAGCTCTATATTTTTACCATAGTACAGCACGATCGAAGTACGCCCGCTATGAACTCAGTAAGCAGAAAACAAAAGTGACTGTGTCTTGTGGAGAACAGATAAACAGACAAACAGACCGTGCGCGGTGGGAGTACTGGGTAATAAAAAGTACCTACAAGCTATGGCTCTGGCTGCGTAGGGAGTATCGTTTTTTACCATAAAGCTATTAAACAACTAGAGTGCTGACAAGATGGCGCAGCAATGCAGAGTTATGTATGTGTACCATCCAAGATGGCCGTCGTAGTAAAGCGCCACCTTCAGGCTTAGTATACATATTATTACATATTAATAAGCCTCTGACTGACTGTTATTTCATTATTGATAATGAGTAATGGTAATAACAAATTATTAAACTATTGTAGCCAAAACGAGGCCAAGTGGAGCATCTTATTCAAAAATAAAGTACCAAGGAATGAAAATTAAAATCGTGTACA